CCAGAAATGGTGTCTGATGTCAACTCGGTGAAGGCTGGCATTGGCAATATCCTCACCATCTTCAACGAAACAGGCACAGGGCTCCATCACGAGATCCGGGGGCTTCGGTCGGAGCTGGACGAGGTGAGATGGAGCACACGTGATGCAGCGTTGGAGGCGAGGACGCTACAGTCTTCAGTAGCAGGTCTCCAGACCAACCTTACCCAAGCAACAGGTGACCTACTATCTAACTCCCAGGAGATCGCGGCAATGAAATTTCAAATGGCTGGTGAGTCTTACTTAGATGATGAATACGTCGAAAGGCCTAATCATTATATTGTCTGGCCCAGACTCGATTACAAACATCGGACCTTCATATAGGTGGATTAAAACTGAATGTAGCATTATACAACAAACAAAATACATGCATTGGTGGGTGGGTTTTGGTTTGGATGGATGGATGGATGGATGGATGGATGGATGGATGGATGGATGGATGGATGGATGGATGGATGGATGGATGGATGGATGGATGGATGGATGGATGGATGGATGGATGGATGGATGGATGGATGGATGGATGGATGGGCGGGCGGGCGGGCGGGCGGGCGGGCGGGCGGGCGGGCGGGCTAAGGCGCCAGGCTAGTGATCCAGCGAGCATTAGGTGCCAGGATCGAGCCCACCTGTGACCGGTTGTAAAAAACTTGGAGTCAACTTTGTGTGCAGACTCTTTCAGTGTTTTCACAACCCCTAGTGTACAGTACACAACCCTGTGCACTTTAAAGAACCCACGAATCCGTTGGTATATGACCACCTAGTTGCGGGTACAGCATAAACGTGCAGTAAACTTGGACAAATTACTGTGACTATGTGTCCCAGTCCACCCAGCTGTGAATGGGTACCTCGTAAGGATTGGAAAGCCGCAATAACTCGGTGCGCCTTGTGGCAGCAAGAGTTGTATGATCCCCAGGGAGCTGAGATTGATGATAAGATGTGCCGTTGAGATTGACATTCAATGATCGAGGGATAAAATGCCAGCGCCTTGAGCACGCACTAGTGCGTGGATATGTGCGCTATATAAACATCCAATAATAATAATAATAATAATAATACTTCACTGCTTCAATACTCTCGTGGACACAGGTGATGTTCCTCCATGGTTATGCAAAGGTCGCCCAATACTCCTCCCCAAGAAAGGAGACGTGACTGATCCCATAAACTTCAGCCCTATCACATGTTTAAAGACACAATACAAATTATTCACAGGGTGTTTGACAAACCTCGTGTCATCATACTGCTCTGCTAATGATATAATTTATAGAGAGCAGAAGGGGGCGAGAAAGGGATGTGGGGGATGCAAGGATCAACTTCTTGTACAGAAAATGATTTTGGAAGAGGCTAAAACATACCACCGCAACCTCTCCATGTGCTGGATTGACTACAAAAAGCATACGATTCTGTCCCTCGTGAATGGATTCTGAGGTCTCTTCGTTGTATTGACCTCCAGGAGCGACTACTTGATTTACTCAAGTCTTTAATGAGTTGCTGGTCGACTCAAATTGAGATGTACTCGCAAGGGCAGGTGCAGACTTCGGAATCTATTCCAATCAGAAGGGGAATGTTCAAGGGGGACTCCTTCAGTCCTTTGCTTTTTTTTCTCTAAATCCTCTGAGCTTTCTGCTCAACAGAGAGGAGGGTTACCATCCTGGACCTCCTCAGCACAGATCCCCAATACCGCTTACTCATCTTCTTTACATGGATAACATCGAGCTCCTTGCCAAAGGAGATACCACTTTGAAAGTGAATGCTCAACCGAGGCATGGTATCTCAGTGGGCTAGCACTATAAAACCAGCTTAAGTCTGGGCTAGTACAAGCAGCCACACATACACATACACACGCATGCACGTCGTCATATGAGCGAAATATTCTCAAGCACGACGTTAAACCCAATTTCACCTCCCTCTAATGATATTGGCATGACATTTGGACTCGACAAATGTAATACTCTTCATTTGAAACGTGGCATGGTAGTTAATGGTGGATCGGTCAAGTTACAGGGGGGAGGAGTTATTGAGCATCTTGTGGAAGATCAGGCCTACACCTATCTTGGAATGCAAGTTCGAGACAAGCTCCAGAATGCCCAAATTCAAGACAAACTTCGGGCCGAGTACAAATCTCGCTTAAAGAAAATCTGGAGCTCAGAGCTAAATGCTCGAAACAAGGTCAAGGCCACCAATACTTTTGCTATGCCAGTCCTCTCCTATTCCTTTGGAGTAGTTGATTGGACAAAACAAGACATTCAGAGTCTTGACCGCCTGACCAGAAGGATCATGTCTGATAACAGAGCCCACCACCCTCGTTCCTCTCTCAACCGTTTATATATGCCAATCAATTCTGGAGGTCGGGGTTTGATTAATGTGGAGGCTCTTCATGATAGAATTCCTTTGTGTACTTTTGCACATATTTATTTATCGGATGATCCTCTGGTGATGCATGTCAAGACTCATGATGAAAGCAAGGAATTTCACAGCTATTTTAAGCGTTCCAAGGTTGTTGGAAAGAATCTGAAATTTGAGGTTGATTTTGCTGATGGCGATGTACTGCTGGACGGTACAGCGATGGGAGTAAACCAGGTGAAGTCCTTCACCAAGTCTGCCCAGAGTCGGTCTTTTGTGAAGAGGCTTTCTGAGAAGCCATTGCATCGTGTGTACATGCAGTGTGTGGAACAGAATAGCAATCCCACCGACTCCTTCGCCTGGATGAAGTCGGCTGGTCTTAAATGTGAAACTGAGGGCTTCCTTTTGCTGCTCAGGACCAGTCACTTCCCACTCGTAATCGCCAAAATGTGATTCTTAAGGAAAATATTAACATGAAATGCTGACTGTGTAATGAATTTACAGAGACTGTCCAACACCTTGTCAGTGGATGCCCTTCTCTGGCACAAACAGCATATCTTAAACGACATGATAGCATGGCTCGGTTGTTTCTACTATCGTCTCCGCCATGTCTGTGGCATTGACTCCGAGGTCCATCCATGGTACGACCCTGAACATGTCCAGGGCGTCATGGAAAATGATGCTTTCAAACTTCTGTGGAATAGGCCCATATACAGCCTCAGAAGAATTCCAGCTAACAAACCTGATCTTGTGCTTTTTGATAAAGCCAATGAATTTATTTATATCATTGAATTTTCTGTCCTTTTGACAGCAATGTGATTAACAAGATTCAGGAAAAGCATGATAAATATGCGGACCTCGCCTTTGAAATGTCTCGCTTGCATCCCAAGTACACTGTCGTCAGGCTCCCCATTGTTCTCGGTGCCCTTGGTTTGGTACCTCCTGATCTCTTGGCGCAGATCAGGAGAGTGCCCAGGTTCTCCACCGGGAGCACAGCCCTTCTGACACTCTGGGTAATGCAGAAGGCTGCAGTGTTGGGGAGCCTTCATATTCTCCGGAAAGTTCTTTGTGGGTTCGACTAGGCAGTGTTTCCTGGGAGAAGTCCCATTCGCTGTCTGGGCTGCGTCTAGAGGGGGCGAGGGCCCTGAGCTGATGATGAGCCTTACCAGCCTGACTGTGCCAGGATCACCCGAACCCTCTCTGCTGCATTTTCATCTTTAATCTGTAAAACATAATAATAATGGATGGATGGATGAATGGATGGATGATGGATGGATAGGATGGATATGGATGGATGGTTTACTTTGTAGTTCACTTATATTTGGTTCTATTTGGTACATTTAAAAATTATAAAATGAATTTACCTCTCATTCATCTTCTCGCTTCAGAAAACTGGGCCCGTGTTGATGGAGACGTGAGGTCTGTGAAGTCTGTACTGTCGTCAATCTCCCTCAGTGTGGACAAGGCCGGGTCAGACGTGCGAACAATACAGGAAGACGCGGAGAAACTCAACTACCGCTTGGAGGACATGAGGACCACCACGATTAGGACATCCGCAAATGTCAACTCACAGATTGTGTCCTTGCGTCAGATTGTTAACAAATCTGCCCAAGATGGGGAGAAGGCCTTGTCGAGTCTGTCATTACTGTGGCAGACTGTAAACCAGAGTGCCTCAAACACCTCTGAGATGAGAACAGACCTGATGAGAGTGCACCAGACTGTGAACAAAACAACATCAAATATCAATGATCTTTTGTTAGAACTATCCACACTTCGTCAGGATCTAAACAGATCAGAATCTGACACTGAGGATTTCAGGTCAGAATTATCAGATTTTCGTAGGGATGTCAATAGAACATTCGTCAGTACCGACACCTTCCAGTCAGGACTGAGAACTCTACGTCAGGACTTAACCATAACTGACACGAAATCTAACAACTTACGGTCTAAACTATCAAAGCTTCGAGAGACAGTCATCAAAACTGTCTCCAACAATAAGGATTTACGGTTAGAATTATCTTCTCTGCGTCAGACTGTCAACGAAACTGTCTCAAACAATAAAGATTTCAAATCAGAATTATCGTCCATTCAGCAGACAGTTAACAGGTCTGTATCGAAAAATAAGGATATCCTGTCAGAACTATCAAACCTTCGAGCGACAGTTAATAGAACTGTCTTAAACAATAAGGATTTCCAGTCAGAATTATCATCCCTTCAACAGACAGTTAACAAAACCGTATCCAACAATAAGGATTTCCAGTCAGAACTGTCAAACCTTCGAGCGACAGTTAACAGAACTGTCTTAAACAATAAGGATTTCCGATCAAAATTATCCTCCATTCAACAGTCAGTTAGCAAAACAGTCTCCAGAAATAAGAATTTCCGGTCAGAACTATCAACGCTTCGACAGACTGTCAACAAAACTGTCTCAAACAATAAGGATTTCCGATCTGAATTATCATCCCTTCAACAGACAGTTAACAAGTCTGTATCCAACAATAAGGATTTCCGGTCAGAATTATCATCCCTTCAACAGACAGTTAACAAGTCTGTATCCAACAATAAGGATTTCCGGTCAGAATTATCATCCCTTCAACAGACTGTTAAAGGTCTGTATCCAACAATAAGGATTTCCGATCTGAATTATCATCCCTTCAACAGACGGTTAACAAGTCTGTATCCAACAATAAGGATTTCCGGTCAGAATTATCGAAGCTTCGACATACTGTCAACAAAACCGTCTCGGACAATAAGGAGTTCCAATCAGAATTATCATCCCTTCAACAATCAGTAAACAGAACCGTATCCAACAATAAGGATTTCCAGTCAGAACTGTCAAACCTTCGAGCGACAGTTCATAGGTCAGCCTCAGACACTGGAAACGTCCGGGCAGAGTTAACGACACTTCGTCAAACAGTTAATGAGACAGTTTTGAAAACGGATGACTTGAGGTCAGATTTCTCATCTCTTCGTCAGAAATTTAAACAGAGAGGAATTTCCATTATGCATAATCGCCAGAGTCTGCATAGTTTACACACGGACCTCCTTACTCTACGGGCACGTGTGAACAGGACTGACCTGAACGTTGACGACCTGGAGGCCGAACTAGCTGACTTACGTGTGTCCCTCCAAACAGCAGCTTCGGATTTACAAGCAGAGAGAGACATCATTCAGAGTCTCCAGAACGACGTTAGTGTATTAAGGACAGACATAAATACGACCAGTTCGGAAACTGCACATGTTAGGTCAGAGCTATCAACGCTTAGTGTGCTATTCAGCAGAACGGATTCGGCAGCTGCTGAGAATACAGAAAGAATACTAAGTCTTCAACGAGACTCTGATTTGATACAAGGAAGAATGAACTCATCAATTCTGAATTGGGAAGAAATGATGACCGACATGTCAAGTTTACGGTTAACCGCTAACAACACAAAGGATGAACTTACAACATTCAAAGAACAAGTTCAAACAAGATTTACTAAGTTTAGAAGAAGAACAGATGGGTTGGGGAACAAGTTCTTAACTCTCAGTACGAACGTCAATACATCGAACAGCAACATACAGGCAAACAGAAAGGACATACAAGCGTTAAGATCTGCATTGTCAATAAGTGAGCAAAGAGTGAACGAAACGGTTATGGATCAACTAGAGGTGAGATCTGACCTTAGAAGAGTCAACGTTACTTTGAGTAGGGCACGGGCAAAGTTGGAGAGAGAATTGGAGGGTAAGAGTTTACGTTCATTTCATATTGCTTATGTCTGAAACGTCCAGGGCTAGAGGTTTACAGGGACATTCAGGGAATTAATTCCACAGAAATAGGATATATGACTTTGGAAACATTTGCTTTTAACCAATGAACGAAAATACAATCATCATACAAAATGCTACCCAGATATTTCAAGATGGAATTTTATGAAGTTGAGATATTTTGTAGTTGTCATGAAATGTGCAGAGGGTTACTAAACAGGTATATGTATTGTATGATTGCATGCATGGCACTGATGTTTTGGACCCGTGAAGATCCGGGTTAGAATATTGATCTTCAGTAACCCATGCTTGTCGTAAGAGGCGACTAACGGGATCAGGTAGTCAGGCTCGCTGACCTGATTGACACATGTCATCGGTTCCCATTTGCGCAGAGGCAGAGTGATGCTCATGCTGTTGATCACTGGATTGTCTGGTCCAGACTCGATTATTTACTGACCGCCCCCATATAGCTGGAATATTGCTGAGTGCGGCGTAAAACTAAACTCACTCATTCACTGATGTTTTGTAATACAGTGTCACAATGTATGAGCTGTGGGCATAGATATACGAACAACAAAACAAAAATGCTGTTTACATTAGGTCATAAATACTGCCGAATGCGCGTCATTATAACACATACCTGTGGCATGGATGTTTTATGAACGTATAGTATGACCAGAAATTATTGAGAATTTTAGGAATATGTTTAATTGGATTTCTAGTATAAAAAAATTTGACCAGCTATCAAGTGCTTGGTTTCATTCAAGAGAGACAACTCCGTTAATCATTTTACATTAGTTTGTGAAGAGTTATCCCCCTTTGTTTACTTGCTAGCAGACGACATTTTCAGTGATCCTCAGTATGGATGATTTAGAGAAGAGGAAGTTGATTTTAGAGTATTATAACAAGGACATCAGATCACCTAAAGTGATTTCATTGTTTATTGTGTTTTGAAAAATATTGCAAAATATGACATTATTAGCTTGGCCATGCATCAGCCCTGACCTAAATCCAATAGAAAATGTTTGGGGACTTGGGGAAAGTGTCAAAAAGAAAAATCTGACAAATATTGCTGAAATGAAAGAAGAGGTGGTCCGATATTGGGACAGAATGGACCACGATTTTCTAACTTCTTTGATCAGTAGTATGCCCCGCCGCATTGAAGCCTGCATTGCTGCCCATGGTGACTTGAAAAAATACTAACTGTTCCCCTGTCTTTGAATCTGGAGTTATGTTCTGCTAATATTCACATGTAATACGTGAGTAATGAGTGAAAAAAATATAAAAAATTACAATCTTTAAATTCTCAATAATTTCTGGTTGTACTGTATATTTTGACCCAGGCGGTTAATGCCTGCAACAATGCCGATCCGACCTTTTAAGTTGAAACTCGTCCATTTGGATCAGTTATTATTAGTGTTGGAAATTGGTTAAAATCTCATAATTGATGATTGGTTCATAACAACCGATCAATCATCGAAAATAATTGGTTAGTGTCATTTATGAAATTTGTTAATGCACATAAAAATAAGGAAAAAAACGTAGTTCTTTGGGGTCTTTTTGGCAAAATTTCACATCTTTAAGGATGACTAGTATGTTAGGAACATAAATTTCTTGGAGCCTTTAAGATAAATTCAATCATGACTTGGAACGAGCTTGTAGTGCTTACAAAATGTAACAGACAAAACCAACCGTGTGAAAAATATTGTTAATGAAAACAAGTGTTCCAGAATTGGTTGTGTTCGATTATGAGAAATTATGATCGATTGCTTGGTCGTTTAGTCACTACGACCAATCTTCGATTATTTCAATTAATCGGACCACCACTAGTGATTATATATCGCCATCTGACATTTTGAGATCAAATATATACACCTGCTTTGAAGGAAATCCAGAGCGTTTTGTTAAAGCTTAGAAACATTCCAGTTTTGTTCATATGGAAGATGGCAGCTCCTGGGTTTACTTGGTCCCAGACCAATGGACGCAGTATTTGACTGACTGACTGACTGAGTTTGGTTTTACGCCGCTTTTATCAATATTCCAGCAATATCACGGCGGGGAACACCAGAAATGGGCTTCACACATTGTGCCCATGTGGGGATTCGAACCCGGGTCTTCGGCGTGACGAGCCAACGCTTTAACCACTAGGCTACCCCACCGCCCCCGCAGTATTTGAAGGCCATTTCGTGTGTGTGTTCCTCCGGGATGGTATTGCAGAAATATTGGTTATTCCAAATAATTCTAACACATTCTGTCCCTATGTTTTACAGGCAGGTTGAAAGACGTCACAGAGGAATTAATGTCCTTCAAAACTGACCTTTCAAATAACACAGCTATCAGTTCCGAAGAGTTAGCCTTCGAGATGTCAACCCTGCGTCGCAGCTTAAACAAGACAGCCTCATCTGTGGCCACCAATGCAGGGGGGATCTCACAGCTGGAGTCCAGGCTTCTGATGATGACGAGAACCATCAGTGACACAGCTCAGAGTACCTCAGGCGTACAACAGGATGTTTTTCAGCTCAGATCAGATGTGAATAGATCCACATCTCAGTTAAAACACTTCGAGCTGACATAGTAAATCTACAGACGGACATAACACGTGTGATATCAAACGTTAGTGGTATTAGCAGAAACAGTGAAGACTTCGTGGCGGAGTTAGGGTCGATTCGTGTTGGACTGAATACCACGGCATCGGATGTACGAACTGCCAGGGAGGATGCCACTCTTCTTAATGGTAAAGTTCTTGCTATGAGGACAAAGCTCCGCAGAACGAGACTGGATGCTGAAGAGACTAGGTCTGATGTGTTGGAACTTCGCCGGACATTGAACAGGACCCACGGTCAAATCAGAGCAACCGGTGAAGATGTAGCTGTACTGAAGATGGAACTGGTTCGTGTTGACGGTGATGTCAACACCACGCTACTTGATGGCGAGAAGATAAAATCAGAAGTATCAGATATACAGTCGCGGATTGTGCGGATGGGATCTGATATTGTCGTTAATGCTCAGGATATCCGCACTGCCCAATTAAATATTTCAACACTGTTTTCAAGTCTCAATGGTGTACATTCAACTTCAGCGTCGAACGAAGCGGACATAACATCTCTCAAATCTACACTGTCAGGTCAGTACTAGTGTTTGGAATTGGTTGAAAACTCACAATTGATGATTGCTTCATTACCAACGAACAATCATCGAAAAAAAATTGGTTAGCGTCATTTTTCAGATTTTCCTATCCAGGTTGTTACTGCAGAATAGTATAACATGTTGCAACTTAAAGTGACTAATATATCGAGAAAATAAACTTCCTGGAGTCTTAGAGAAATATTCAGTCATGACCTTTCAGTTAGTGAAGTGAGTTTTCTAAGAAATAAACATGTTTTCAGGCTCTAAGATATGTTCCATTGTCAAGTATTTCAAAGACTAAAACAGTAGTTCCGAAATCGTTTATGTTCGATTATGAGAAAATGTGATCGATTGCTTGGTCGTTTGGTCACTGCGACCAATCTTCGATTATTTCAATTAATCGGAACACCCCTAGTCAGTACATACAGATATCTGCACTTGTTTTGCTTGAGTGAGTGAGTGAGTGAGTGAGTGAGTGAGTGAGTGAGTGAGTGAGTGAGTGAGGAGTGAGTGAGAGCGTGAGTGAGCAGTGACGCTTGAGCACACGCTTTAACTCCAACACCCCTCGGCTCTGAGACCACCAGCAGCAATAACAGTACGTGCTTGCTATTCATTATGCGGCTATGGTCTTTTCGTCCGACTTAAAGATTTCAAGCGTGTAATAGAACAGAAATATACTATTCACACTTTGCTAAGGATCAAATCGTTTGATTCAATAGAAAACTATGATGTGGGGTCTAATTTGGTTTAAGTATCTAAGCTTACTGTAAGCATGGATCCCATGTTTCAGTATGTCAATGCATCTTCTGGATCCCATACCTGCTATTGACAGGTGTTGTGTACTTTTCAATGACCTGTGCCATGATTTGCATAATGGTTGATTGGTGCCATGAAAACCATTTTTATAGTTACTCATATATCAAGTGCATAAAGCAAGAATAAAGTGACTGGTTGCCTAATGAAGGGTTACCATATTATTATTTATCCAGTTTTAAATGGATACATTTTCAAATTATAAATCTATGTTTAAATAAAGTTGGGAATTTTTGTGATCCTTAGCAAAGTGTGAGCAGTATATTTATAGAAGACGGTTAACGAAAGATTCTCACGTGCAGATTTTTTACTATACGAACCGAGTGAGTGGGTGAGTGAGTGAGTGAGGTTGTACGCCGCTTTTAGCAATATTCCGGCAATGTCACGGCGGGGAACACCAGAAATAGGCTTTAATTTTTGTTTGAACGCGAGTGAATTTATGGAAGGTTTGGCAATTGCGGTGTTGCACCCCATTGATTTGCCAGAATCATAGGATGGTTGGTTCGAATCCTAGACTTGTCCATGATATGTATTCTGCAGCATATGTTTTTATTCCAATGGTCTTTATCGTCCAGGGGGGCGGCGGGGTAGCTTAGCAGTTAAAGGTCGCACCGATGACCCTGATTCGATTCCCCGAACTGATACAATGCGTGAAGTCGATTTCTGGCGTTCCCCCCCCATGATACTGCTAGAATATTGAACAGGAACAATCTTAATGGGTTGACAACATCTTTGTTACAATAGATGCGAAGTTTCGGTGTTGATGCTAACACCGTTATTAGTGAGTGAGTGATTGAGCTTTACACCGCAATCAGCAGTATTCCAGCTATATGGCGGCGGTCTGCGGATTCCATTCCCAATATCTCCACCGTATGCCAAATGATGTACTGACATGTGTCGTCCGTCTTGCAGATACAGCAACAGAGGTCGCTTCTGTAACAAAAGAAGTGTCCTCAATTTTCACCCATCTCAACCAATCAGACGTAAGCCTCAGAGAAAGCTCAGAAAGTATTGAAGGTTTGAAGTCAGCCCAGATCGTAGTGAGGAGAAGAATTCATGGATTGTTGAACGACACCACTGAGATGAAGTTGGATCTTACAAGACTTCGACACAACTTTAACAGCACAACGGAGTCTGTGGAACGTAACAAGGAATCGGTCCGTGGTCTGGGGTCCGAGTTGATGGCAATGGGGAAACTTTTACATGCAACAAGCAATGATACTTATACCATGAAGACAGAGATCATGGACTTAAACACTAAGGTAAATACAAGTCAAACTTTGCTGGACAAAACCTTCACCGCTGGTGAGACGACGAGGTTGGAAGTGCAGGGCCTTGTCTCGGAGTTGAAGGCGATGGGTGAGAAGTTGAACAGCGGTGAGGAAGCTGCAAGTGCGGTCACATCACGAGTTTCAAAACTCCAGCAAAGAGTGAAGAAGAACGCGGCAGATATCAGTGTAAACGTTCGGGCACTCACGTCCATCAAGTCGAATGTAGAAGGTACGTTCTATATTGTAAAAGTCCGAAACCGATTGACTGATATTTGTGAGTGAGTGAGTGAGTGAGTTTTGTTTTACGCCGCACTCAGCAGTATTCCAGTTATATTGCGGCGGTCTGTAAATAATCGAGTCTGGACCAGACAATCCAGGGATCAACAGCATGAGGATCGATCTTCGCAATTGGGAATCAATGACACGTGTCAACCAAGTCAGCGAGCCTGACCACCCGATCCCGTTAGTCGCCTCTTACGACAAGCATGGGTTACTGAAGGCCAATATTCTAACCCGGATCTTCACGGGTCTCCTTTTGCATTTACATATACCGCTATATATACGTCGTTGTAAAAATGGAAAAATGACAAAAATACGTACACGGGTCAGTAGATGTGTAATGTGTCCGTGATAGTCATTGTGTATCAATATTCCAAGTATAACACATATAGCTGGACTATTGCTGAGTGCGGCGTAAAACTAAACTCACTCACTCACTAACTCACTCATTCACTTGTATAGTGAGTGAGTGAGTTTAGATTTACTCCGCGAGTCTGACCACACTATCCCGTTAGTCGCCTCTTACGACAAGCACGGGTTACTGACGATCAATTCTAACCCGGATCTTCACGGGTCTACTTTTGCATTGACATATACATCGTTGTAAAAGTCGAAAAATGAAAACAATACGTATATTTAGCACCTGTTGATAACACCAGTGGGTATTGTTAATAAATACACATGTTTAAAGGGTTAGAATTACGGATTCCATTCCCAATATCTCCACCGTATGCCAAATGATGTACTGACATGTGTCGTCCGTCTTGCAGATACAGCAACAGAGATCGCTTCTGTAACAAAAGAAGTGTCCTCAATTTTCACCCATCTCAACCAATCAGACGTAAGCCTCAGAGAAAGCTCAGAAAGTATTGAAGGTTTGAAGTCAGCCCAGGTCGTAGTGAGGAGAAGAATTAATGGATTGTTGAACGACACCACTGAGATGAAGTTGGATCTTACAAGGCTTCGACACAACTTTAACAGCACCACGGAGTCTGTGGAACGTAACAAGAAATCGGTCCGTGGTCTGGGGTCCGAGTTGATGGCAATGGGGAAACTTCTACATTCAACAAGCAATGATACTTATACCATGAAGACAGAGATCATGGACTTAAACACTAAGGTAAATACAAGTCAAACTTTGCTGGACAAAACCTTCACCGCTGGTGAGACGACGAGGTTGGAAGTGCAGGGTCTTGTCTCGGAGTTGAAGGCGATGGGTGAGAAGTTGAACAGCGGTGAGGAAGCTGCAAGTGCGGTCAAATCACGAGTTTCAAAACTCCAGCAAAGAGTGAAGAAGAACGCGGCTGATATCAGTGTAAACGCTCGGGCACTCACGTCCATCAAGTCGAATGTAGAAGGTACGTTCTATGTTGTAAAAGTCAGAAACCGACTGGCTGATATTTGTGAGTGAGTGAGTTATGTTTTACGCCGCACTCAGCAATATTTCAGATATATGGCGGCGGCAATTGGGAACAGATGACATGTGTCAACCAAGTCAGCGAGCCTGACCACCCGATCCCGTTAGTCGCCTCTTACGACAAGCATTGGTTACTGAAGATCAATATTCTAACCCAACCTTCACGGGTATGGTATTTGTAAGAATGAATGATGCCTGTCATCGTATCCTAATGGCATAGATCAATTATGATGTCAATCACTGGATTGTTTGTCCAGCATGGATTATTGACATTCCTCCGAATATATGACTTGGATGCATCGTTAGACAATAAACATCAATTATCCCCCGTCGTAATATTGCTAAAACTCACGCACACACTCACTCACTCACTCACTCTTGTCTCAAGTGCATGATGGTTCCTTAACGCACTGTTTACCTTTTCTTTTCAGGTGTCACCCTACTTCTGAACGGAACAAGTCGGAGCACACAAGCCAACACTGAGGATATAGGCAAAATAAACTCGCATCTACACCAGATAGGAACACGACTCAATGTCACAATATCAGACAGGGATCGAATAGACACGGCAGTGTTTGCTCTGACTGAAAGACTTAACAGAACTGGCATATCAGTTCAAGCGAACATGGAGGAACTCCAGTACGTTCAGTCAGAACTTCGCGTTCACGGAGCAGGTATCAACAGAACCATACAGGCTGGGAGGACATTGAACTCACAGGTCAGGGACCTCGCATCCAGTTTCAACGAGACAGCACGAGAAGTCCAGACTAACATATATGACATCAAACGTATTGATTCAGAGGTCAATGTAATCAGGAAAGTTGTTGATAAATCTTCAGTAGATGTGGAAGAAATAATTGCAGAATTGAGGAGCACGCAGTCGAGTGTGAGGGAGACAGCCTCGGAGATTGATTCCAATACTAAGAGAATTAACTCGGTTAAATCAGAGTTTACAGGTAGGGAAACATGTTCTGGTTAGCTTCAATAAAAATAGCACTTGTAGTTTCTAACATCCTATGAGGATCGGGCTAGAATTGTCAGCAATGCATGTGGTGGCCAACGGGATCGGATGAAAACGTGAGTGAGTGAGTATGGTTTTACGCCGCTTTTAGCAATATTCCAGCAATGTCACGGCGGGGGACAACATAAATGGCTTTACGTACTGCACTCATGTGACGAACCGGACCCGGGTCTTCGGCGTGACGAGCGAACGCTTCAACTACACGGCTACCCTAACGTTCCCGGATGAAAACCTCGCTGACGTTGTCAGTGCATGACATCTTATCCCAGTTGCGCAGAATGACGCTCATGTGTCAATCATAGGATTGTCTGGTCCAGACTCTATTATTTACAGGCCTCACAGAGATATGTGTTTGGCACGCCTAACCTATATAGCGAACTGCATTTCCTTAAATGACTAGGTCTCTAGAGTACCCTTGCATCATTATCATATGCTTAAACGAGACTGCTATCATGTCTCCATTCTAAACATGCAATTGACTTTATTAACAAGAAAACTGAATATAGTTTTTTTTATTTCTTGCAGGAAAATGGAAGAGTCTTACAAAAGGGTTAAACACCTTCCAGCTTCAACTGGCCAATCTCCACATGAAAGCAAATATTACCGATACAATGGTCAAGGCCAACGCCGATAACATAAGTACTTTAATCGATGACCTGGACGACGTGAGGACCAACTACACCCAAACAGCGGCGGACACAGAAACAGTCCAGTCAGAATTATCTTCCCTTCGTCAGAACGTCAACGTCACTGGCACCAACGTCGCGGCCAACACGCAGCTTATTCTTACTGCCAGAGCTGATATGAACCGTAAGGCCTTATGTTGGTTTGTTTGTTGTTTTACGCCGCACTCAGCAATAATCCAGCTTCCTGACGACGGTCTATAAACTGACCACAATCCATTGATTTATACTAAATATTCCACTCGAATGTTCACCTCTACATATCTTAGATTCGATCCCGTTTGCTAAGTGTTTTGGTTTAAAGTTTTTGAACACTTTAATTGAGTGAGTGAGTGAGTTGAGTTTTACGCCGCACTCAGCAATATTCAAGCTATATGGCGGATGTCTGTAAATAATCGGATCTGGGCCAGATAATCCAGGGATCAACATCATGAGCATCGATCTACGCAATTGGGAACTGATGACATGTGTCAAGCAAGTCAGCGAGCCTGACCACCCGATTCCCGTTAGTCGCCTCTTACGACAAGCATGGGTTACTGAAGATCAATATTCTAACCCGGATCTTCACGGGTCGAACTTCAAAAAGATATAGCCTACTCCCACACACAATGACTGATATTGTGTTTGTTTATCACATCTTCAGTAATTGTAAATAAATATTTCAATATTTGAGCGATGATCAACAGAAGTGGGCTTGAGACATTGCACCAATGCGGGGAATCGAACCCTGGTCTGCTGTGAACGAGGTACCCTAGCGCCACTGACATAGACACAACGTGATTTCTAGGTAGCCTTAATAATTCTTAACTTTGATCGTAGCCAATGTGTTATGAATGGGCTTAAGAAGTTCGCAGGGCTACGAACGTTTCGAGAATAGCTAGGCAGGTAGGGCAGGGCATGCTCACACCTTGCGCAAAGTCCTGATTGATTTTCAGTGATTACAGACAATAATATGTTTCAGAACAGTTTGGCCTTCTCACAAACTTATCATGAAATAGCCGAAGATAATCGATGGGGTTTGTTATCTTATACATACTGAGGAAACAAATAAGGGATCAACTATGCGACACAACGATTGTGAAGAAACCTGGAATTAATAAAGGAACACTTGTGCTTTCATGTGATCCCTTATTTCTTTCCCTCAGTATATATGGGAAAGTGTTCCCACCATATGAGGTGGTGGGGTAGCCTAGGGATTAAAGTATTTCCGGGTTCAATTCCCCCCAAAATATTTTATATTGATAGTTTCAGTTACCTTGTATAACAGCAAGTTTTTAAAAAATAGAATTTTGATATTTTATTGGAAAATGCTTTTAACTGGTAGATTAATGGTCAAAGCCTTTGAAGACCCGGGTTCGATTCCTTAAAAATGTGCTGTGTGTGAAGTCCATTTCCGGTATCCCCGTCTTGATAAAGTTGGAATATTTCTAAAACCATAATCACTCCAACCACGACGCCTATATTTCACATTCCAGGGACCGATATGACATCAAAACTATCTTCGAAAACGTTGTCATCTCGCAGCTTGTGTATCTATTGTGATGCCGTGTAATTCATGTTGCAGACCAATGGAACAACATGACGAAGGATCTCACATCACTGAAGGACGACGTAGCACAGACGTTACTGAAGATCAACAGTACGGCGTCTGACGTGGAGTACAACCTTGGACGCCTAAGCGCGCAATTCGGACTGATAAAAGAAGACAGCGACCGAGCTGCTAAGGACACAGGGGCGTTTCGAATCGAACTGGACGCTGTTCGAAAAACCATCGAGAAGACGTCATCAGATGTAAAGACGAACTTTGATGATATTGAGTCTGCTCGATCGAACCTTGCAGTCCTTCGCCGGAACGTCAGTTCCATTACACCCACTGTATTAAAAACGTCTCGCATTCTCAACAATTTCAGAACGCGGTATTCAAGTAAGTGATGTTTGTTTATCAGCTGTTTTGTTACAGGAAACATTTGCACTCGAACCCGGGTCTCCGGTGTGACGAGCAAGCGCTTTAACCACAAGCCTACCCCACCGCCCCTCTTTTCTGGTGTTCCCACCCGTGATGGTCCGGGTTAGAATGAACCTTCAGTAACCCATGCTTGTCGTAAGAGGTAACGGGATGCTGTTTAATACTGGATTATCTGGTCCAGACTAGATTATTTACAAACCGCCGCCATATAGCTGGAACATTGCTGAGTGCGGCGTAAAACTAAACTCACTCACTCACTCACTCTGGTGTTCCCACACAAACACGAAAGAGTTACAAATCAGGCAGAGCTGAAAACTATGTTGGCTTATGGAGGCTGCAAGGGTATGGTGTTCAGCAACTTCACTCAAGGGGATGTTTAGACCTTAAGTCCAGCCCAACATTGTAGAAAATCAATACTGCAAGTGTGGTGTCAGCGTAGGCATTATGAGTTTCCTCAACCAGCATTTTACGAGTACCCGATATGATGATATATACATGGTAAACCTCCTAGCGTATCACCGCCATATAGCTGGAATATTGCTGAATGCGGCGTAAAACCAAACTCACTCACTCCTAGCGTATCATACGATGTGTATCCTGTCAAGGGGGCTTGGAACGACAAGAGAAGCAGCCTCGTATTGTCTACATTCACTAACCTGATTACAAACACAAAGCTATCATTACCCGTGAAGATCCGGATTAGAATTGATCTTCAGTAACCCATGCTTGTCGTAAAAGGCGACTAACGGGATCGGGTGGTCAGGCTCGCTGACTTGGTTGAAACATCTTATCTTATCCCAGTTGCGTAGATCGATGCTGATGCTTTTGATCACTGGATTGTCTGATCCAGACTCGATTATTTACAGACAGCCGCTATATAGCTGGGATATTGCTGAGTGCGGCGTAAAACTAAACACACTCACTCACTAATCTACCATTAATCTTCCAGAACGCTGGAACGCCATGTCAAAGGACATCGAAACTATCGAATCCGAACTTGGGGATCTGCACGCCACTGTGAACAAAACGCAAACAGCCATTGGAGCCAGGGCCAAGGAAATCAGCTCTCTTCAAACCAATATTTTGGGCCTTGAATCCAGCGTACATCAGTCAGCCTCGAACTTTAAGAACGTTCAGTCCGAATTGTCCGACATAGAGGGTCGAATTAACACGACTGACAATGACCTTCGAACCACCTCTTTGGAAGTTCTGGATATGGCATCGAACATCTCCGTCATGGCCGTCAACCTGACGTCCGTAGCGTCAAACGTCAGCACCAACGCTCATGGAATAAAAACTTTAACAGAAAAAATGCGTGAGTACATTTATGAGTTATCCTGACTGTAAGTATCAGAAATTATCAAATTCACATATTACATTCCAAATAGTAATAACATTTTTTCGAAAAGATTCCCAGTAAAATTCATTAAATGTTAACAAGTGTGTTGGTGTGGTTACCATTTAAAACTAATATTATATATATGTCGAAAATATTATAGCTGTTTTACGATAACGTGCTTATATTCGAGTACAGGGCCTAGATTTTCGAAGCTCTCTTAGCGCTAAGATAGTGGTAAGTGCCATACATTAACATTAACTTACGACTATCTTAGCGCTAAAAGATCGCTTTAAGGAACGGGGTCCAGGTCAGTTTAATCACTGCTTAACAACACAAGAAGTTGGGTACAATTACGCATGATTAGACCTAACGGGATCATCCAAGGTTATACATAATTGATACCATCCACTCCATCCCGATCATCAGTCCGAGGTAGAGGAGGTAACTTGACTCTAAAGGTCTTGTTTCCGCACGTTCCAAACAAGGCTGTAACGATGGGCGTTGTTCAGGTGACGTATAATATCAAGGAAAATGCTTTGAAGAGACATCTATCCACCCGTTCCCGGATTTTTCTTCAGTAAATATATGGCGTGTCGCCCAGTAGGGAATGCCGCCCAGTAGTAGCAGACCCCGGAACCAGGCTGTGGGAGAACCCAGTTATAGGAGATGTTGCTGAAAGAATATTATTCGATACACAATATAAAATTTATTATGTAGCTGTCATTCTGACGTACTACTACTAATAAAGACATACATAATTTCGTCAAAGTCATCGTTTCACATTTTTATGAAGGTTGTTTTTTTCTTATGTCATTCTTAATAGCTTCGATGAAGGTATGATAAGTTGTCATTGCTATACGGATGACATAGTGCCTATGCCACATCAAACATTAATTGCGGCTGATTAGTGCTTGCATTCGATTTATCAACTTTTTGCTAGCCGCTCTCAGAAATATTCAGCCGATATGTTGCCATATGTATTTATCCTCCATTACGAGTCTATTCTGGTTACCCGTGAAGGTCAGGATTAGAATATTGGCCTTCAGTAACCCATGTTTGTCGTAAGAAGCGACTAACGGGATCGGGTGGCCAGGCTCGGTTCCGAATTGCGCAGATCGAAGCTCATGCTGTTGATCACTCGATTGCCTGATCCAGACTCGAATATTTACAGACCGCCGCCATATAGCTTCAATATTGCTGAGTGCGACGTAAAACTCAACTCACTCACTAACTCAGCTCACTATTCTAGTACCGCAGCTATGCATTTTTCACAATATTGTGAAAACCGTCCCAAAACCTAATCCATTCACTCATTCTTCTTCTATACAGCGACCCCCAGACCGGATGTAAAGTTCCAAGTTCGAAATCTCCGTTATCAGCTCCCGACGATCGAACAATCGAGCAGCACCACGCTGAAGTTCGACACAGTGGCCTACAACACCGGTAAAGGTTACGACACAACAACGGGGCGATTCACAGCCCCCGTAGCCGGTACATACCTGTTCTGGGCCAACGTCATGAAGTATGGCGAGGAGTCACGTTTTGACCTTCACCTTCACAAGCGCGGACCAATCATTGCAGGAGCTATAGCCTTCACTTCGGCCAACAGTTGGTATGACACTGCCGTTATTAACTCAGTGACGGAACTCAAGGCTGGGGACGAGATCTGGTTTGCTATTCGCAGTACAACTCCAGATGAATTGCATTTATTGCTGAATTCAGTATACGGAGGGGTGTTATTGTGGGCACGTTAAAGGGACACGGGTCTCGGGCAAAGTGGCAGCCCCAGCAGAATTTTATGGTGTATATACTGTTTATCTAGGACCTGCTCCAACATGTATATCGTGTATATACCCAAACAAAGGTAGTAGAATCTGTACTTTACTAAGAAAGTGTAATCTCAAATATAACATATGTTACATTTGACAACTTTCTAAATGGCATTGTGTCTTCATGTATACCGTTGTTAGCGTTTCCTTTAAGTCGAATTTAGTACTTTCAACTAAACAACTGAATTTTATCACCATACGAAATTTCATATTTCTTTGCGCAGTATACTACGAAATAGCACTTAATATCCAATATACCAAGCGAGTTCCTAATTTGGTGTAATTGGAAATTAGAAGAATTGTTGTAAATTGTTTATGTGCATCCCACTATCATCATTTCCAGCATTTTGTAAAGACGGTTATCGGATGGGTTGCACGTGTGGATGTTCTATCAGCAATTATAAACCTGTGACCCCCACCCCCGCCGTCGATTTTCATGTGACTGTCACTTTTCGCTATGTTTGTTTTACGAAAGGGGACCAGCTGATGAGACAGCCTGGAAATCAACAAGCGTGTGTAGTGTAATTTCATTTTCACACGTGCTACTCGCAAACCTGGCTGTTCTACCTGGTGTCCAAAATTATGAGACAAATCATCAGAGTTGGTCTGTCGATTTCATGTGACTGTGCAAAATTTGGCTTTGTTGCAATTATTAGATTTTGTGTTAGTGAGCAATTCATCGGTCTCAAATGAAATCAAACGGACTGTACATGCAATACGTAGTACTGATTCAGGGGACGCAACTCTCAGGAGAATATAGCACGATTTGGTGTGTGGAGTAGCCATTTCTACTGCATACTGTGACTCGCTGGGTGACTGGATCATCTCGTGTTTTCCTCACACCAGCTGACGTAGTATTCTAATAACACGATAAGTTATTGGATCAACCAATTTTGCAATGTCTTGAATGTCTTTGAATGGCATTTAGAACTGATTTACAGACTCAGAGTCGTTGGTCAAGATGAACTTCATAATGCCACGGAAAAAATCATTTTTACGATAGATTAGCTTTGGAAAAAACATACAAAGCATAACATATAGAGAGAATGGGAGATGCAAAGTTCAATAGTAATATGTAAATATCATATAATTTGTACCATACTTCATATACCATGAGACACAGTTTTGATGATCTTTAATAAATGTGTTGAAATAAGGTGTTCTGTGATGTGTTTATACAGATTAGATAATATCAGCCGTACGTACAACAAGCCTTTAGTGGACGCGGCATTACACAATATTCATTTCCACAGGTAAAGTTGGATCTGTGAATCATTAATCAAATGTGAATAAAAATGTTGAATATTCTTTTATTGAATCACATCTGGAAATGTTCCGGAGCGGTATTTTACACGTTCCTTGTATGCGCACTTTATCAACTTTGGAGATTGAATGCCCAGGTGAGCTTGTGGGTATACATTATCAAACTACAAACACAGCACCCAGAGAAGTAATGAAACGCAAATGTTACCCTGAGAACTCTTTATGTAAATTTGAATATTAAATCTCTCACAATTTTCATATTCTGTCGTACGTTTTTCCATAGTCAGTTCCTGCAATTGATGAAACGACAAACAGTGTTTATGTCTCTACATCTTTATATGCGTGTTCAATAGAAATTACATTTGAATATTGCTGAGAGCGGCGTTAAACAACAAACAAACAAAACAGGTTGTTTAATTCCCTCTTTGTCCAACGGTCTCACATGGCTTAATGTCCAAGAATATTTCCACGATCGTAGGATGTGTGTGGCTATCGTCCAGTGCACCACAACGAGTATCTGGGGTTCGATTCCACACATTGGCGAAGCCCGTTACGCCCGTTTACTAATAATGGTGTCATGGAAAATGACAACAATAAAACTCACTTTTAGCTTGATAACGATGTAAGAATCTACATCGAAACGTCGCTCAAGGCAAATAAACCAGTAGTTGTCATCCATAAAGTTGTATGTTTCATTTGTTGAGTCGCCAACTTCTAGAATGTCGATCAAACAATTACTACGAGTTGATACAGTTTATGCATATCCGAGGTTTGGCGAGTGTTGATATATTTGATATCAGAAAAAAACGAGGGTGAGATTCTATTCATCATCAAAAATCACTCTTATTTAGTTTTCAATTAAAAAATGTACATCTCTGAACACGTTCCTGCCATTACACTGGCAGTGCAGCGATCTCATAGCATTGTGATGTCATCAGTTTTTGACGTTATAGCATTGTGAGTCATGTAATTGATGACGTCAATGCATTGTACAAAATCTACTGTCAAAACGATATATCCTAGCGCTCGTGTTAGATGCGACCGTGCATTATGACATTATACAGAATATCCAATTTCGCACGTGACCATTCATACTAATAGCATGAAGAGACTCATTCCTCCCCGCCCCCAGTCTTAGGTAATACCTAAACAGTTTATCAGAAGTTAAGCAAGCGATGTACACGTAATTCTTATGATACACAACTCGAACAGGAATTTGTCCCTCTTCCAAACTGAACAACGTCGTCGGCTCACTGTCTGGTAGCAGAAGTCTTTTACACGTTGGTGTTCGTCCCGAAATACAATGCGTTAATGAAAGGATCATAACCGATACCAAATAGCATCTCTCCGTGATAGACAACTTTTAGGTTCTTCCCTCCAGCTTCAGCCATTACTATCCTTGTAGGAACACACACATAGATCAAGCCTTTCTCTACGTCCATTGCAACAGAAGTTCGTTCAGAACTGGTATCTGGTTGGTCCGTTGGGTGGAAGAGAAATGTGAGATTTCTCCCATCTGTTGACATAGAATATATGGCAGACCTGGGCTCACTGATCACAAGCACGATCCTGTTTCGTGCCCAATCTAGCAGCATGTCTCTACATTCAAGGTGAGTCCTGACTACATCTGTGGTGCTGTTGTCGAGATATAGTGACGCTATGACACCAACGTCGGTCTTCAGATATAGAAAAAATAACAGTGTTCGTGAATTTGCAATGTACAACAAACACCTCGCTTTTTTAGGGCTGATCACACTCCTCTGCATGTATGAATCTGGGAGGGAAAGTTGAAACAGCGGTTGCCTTTTATACGCCATGGACGTTGTGACAAGAAGCGTCGATCTCACGCCAGATTCATCCTGCATCGAGGCTGAAAGTAAATGATTCAATGATTACATTGTTTTGTTTGTTTGTTTGTTTGTTTTACGCAGTACTCAGCGATGTTTTAGCTATATCACGGTCTGTGTTAAGTAGCATTCCACCTAAGAATCATGCACAGCTGGATAAGTCCAAAATTTCATATTCACTTGAAATTTTGTCATTCTCTTTATTTGGCCTTGTAAAATGTCATGTCACTCAGAAATGTTTCTGCTATCAATATTTTTCATTAATGAGCAACTAAATTAAATTCTACGAAATTGACCCAGAATAGCATGTGAAAATGTACGAAAATGCTATTTTTCCGTTGACAATATTGTTAAAACTATTCGTGCAGTCAGAATTCTTTTACTTTGTATTGAAGTGACATTTGAAATTGTCGTTTCGTTTGTTTGTTGTTTACCTCAGCAATATGTCAGCAATATGCCAGCTATATGGCGGCGGTCTGTAAATAATCGAGTCTGGATCAGACAATCCAGTGATCAACAGCATGCACATCCACGCATTTGGGATACGATGGCTGGTGTCAACCAAATCAGCGAGTCTGACCACCAGATCCCGTTAGGCGCCTCTTACGACAAGCATGGGTTACTGAAGATCAATCCTAATCCGGATCTTCACGGGTCGAATCTGATCCATGGTGCCCCGTACCTCATACCCATGGAATATTTTTGTTGGGTCGTCATAAAACCAAACTCACTCCTTGCATATGAAACTGACGTTTCGGACATACAATGACTTACCTACACGTCTCCTGCAACACAGCTTCCCTGCATGGCTGAGGATGATCTTAGAATACAGTGGGCATACCTCAGGCTCCAAGATCTGAAACTGACTAAGTTGGATTACTCGCTAGTGGAACCAGATTGCGTTTGTTTGTTTGTTTGTGTTTAGTCAAATAGTCCAGGTTATGATGATGGGTTGTAAATAGGGACAGACAATCCAGTGATCTGCAATCACGTGATATCCGGGTGACCGCGTTCGGCAGCTTGACTCCTGAGAGCCTCTAGGACTTCAGTCCTGCCCCACAACGAACCACGTGTAATACATGTGGTCTCACCTTTGGCAAGTTAGTTTGTTCAAAATTGCCTCGGTTCACCCACAGAAAATGGGTAACCTGTGAAATCAGTCGTGAGACTATTAACCTTCTAGCGCCTAACAGGCAGCTTGGGTTATCCGGGGTAATAATGATCAGATTGTGCGCTTTGAGCAGGATATCTGGCCTGGAAAAGGAGCGTTATAAACATTCTCATTATTATCCAGGCCGCCTGAACTCTGGGTGCCGTAGGGCACCTTCTGCAATAAGCCAATGCCTATCCGGAAGCTCCAAGGAAAGACAATCGAGTGATCGATATTATGAGCAAAGGTTCATGCAGTCGGATTACGAAGGCATAGTTGTAATCAACAAGTTTTGTTTTTGTTGCCTGTTGTTTTACACTGTTAATAATCGAATCTGGACAAATCCAATGATTGGCATTATCTATCTACGACATTGGGATACGATGTCATGTGTCATCCAAGTCAGCAAGCAATCAACAAGGTCTTCACGCCTCACCTTTCAATCCTGAATTTCTCCTTTTACGGCGGCAGTGGTGTATGATAGCACAGTGGTTAAAGCGTTCTCGGGGTCAAGGACCGGGTTTGATTCCTCACATGTGTACAACGTGTGAAACCCATTCCCTGTGTCCCCAGCCCGAATATTGCTAAAAACGGCGTAAAACCATACTCACTCACTCTCCTTTTACGGCCAGTATAGATTGTGTGTTATCAGAAGATTAATAGTAACTGGGACAAAACCACACCAAATCATTAGGCTTAGCCAGCATGAATGAAGTCTCGTCTCATTAGCATCATGGAAAAAACGGAACGGGTAACACACCTTGTTCGTCAAAGGATTCGCAATGGGCTTCCAGGGACTGGTTTGAAGTTCCAGATGGGTCACTTCGCAGGTCAGGTGAGAACTTGAGAACGCGTAGGCCGAACATGCAAATGTGTGCATACACAGTTCCTCACACATCTTGGGGCCAAGTAGTGCCATCACTCGTCCATCCTCCATGATTGTAGATACACAGGCAATCAGCACACTCCGCCACATGGCACAATGGACCCCTGCTGAACGGCTCATCTACAGTTGCATACGGGATGTTGTTATGGACTTCACAAGAACATGAGTATATTTGTATTTTTCGTTGTTAAGATTGAGAGCTCAAGTTCAACTAGCCCAAAAAATTGCATAACATCTTACTGTATCCTCCTGAGTATCCAAATTGGAGAGGTCCTAAAGCGACAGGTAAATAATCGAGTCAGGTACTGACAAACCAGAGGTTGAAAGGATGAGCACATATTCTACAGGACACAAGGGGTGATGAATCATTTGTCATTTGTCTTAAATATGTTTGAGACTAAACATTCTTTCAATGCTTGTCGGTTTGCTTCACATTGCAATCAGCAATATCAACTATATGGCGGCGGTTTGTACATAATCGAGTCTTGACCAGACAATCCGGTGATCAAAAACATGATCATCGATTTAACAATGCCGTTGATCACGGGAATGTCTGGTCCAAACTCTTTGAGTGAATGCATCTTAGAACAAATACATTACACAGTGGTATTGATAGCTCTACCTGTTTACTGAAGCCACGGTCCACATCTACCCGGCCATGCTTGTCCGTCACCACTCGCGGTTGCCTTCATGTCATCGTATGCCAACGGCGTGGATCGATGGTCATGTAGCCAATCACTGGATTGGGAGTTACGAGAGCAAATAGAAGCCGCCGCCATATGGATGGAATATTGCTGAATGCGGCGTTAAACAAACTACGTTATTGCCATGATAAAGTGCGAATATAATTTATGTAAATTTTGGATAATAACTGATACATTGCTTATTAGTGATGTTTAATGGAAGACAAGGTATATGCTTTATCAAACCTGGTACCGCACGACTGTATGAGAGGACTGCCTGTAGACTGCGTCCTGTTCACATGGCTTCGCCAGTATTGTATCATAGTGAACACCGACCTCCAGTAACTTAAGTTAATCAATACACTGAGCTGAACGTTTCAGTTGTTGCTTTTTTTCTCTTTCATATCAATCTGATTTGTTTACGACAATTTTTCATACCCGTGAACATCCGATTTAGAATTGGTCTTCAGCAACCCGTGTTTGTCGTAAAAGGCGACTAACGGGATCGGGTGGTCAGGCTCGCTGATTTGGTTGACACATGTCATCAGTTCCCCATTTGTGCAGATCGATGGTCATGCTGTTTGATCACTGGATTGTCTGGTCCAGACTCTATTATTTACAGACCGCCGCCATATAGCTTGAATATTGTTGAGTGCGGCGTAAAACTAAACTCACTCACTCACTCACTCTCAAATAATTAAACATTCCTCTTTTAATTAACAAACATTCCAAAAAGGAAAATAGAACAAGAATAAAATAACCATTGTCCTGTTTTCTAACAAAATTAAAACTCAAGGTAAACAGACAAACAAAAGCAAGTACTCATCTGGTGTTTTCGGATTATTTAAAAACAAAATAAGACGTACATATTTTGATGTAGGTCGATGCCCATGCTGTGGATCACTGGATGGTCAGGTCCAGATTATTTACAAGTCGCCGCAATATTGCTGGAATATTGCTGAGATAAACAACAAATAAACAAAACCACAATTTCTAGCGAGTTATACAATGTTGTTAGATGACTTTAAAACATGGCACAAGTGGATCCGTCATCCTTTGAAACATCAGTTATTCGGAGTACCTTTCACCTGAACGATAGGGTTGGGTTTTTCGTGTTTATTTTGTTGGGGCAGTGGGGTAGCCTAGTGGTTCCAGCGTTCGTACTGAAATCCCGGTTCCATTCCCTCATGACCACTATGTGTGAAGCCCATTCCTGATGTCCTGGCGTTTACATACCGGGGATATGGCTAAAAGTGACGTAAAACCTTTTTCGTTATTATTTTTTGTTTTCATATTTCAGATCATTGCTTGTCTTGGCTCTGCGAGTGTTTGTGACTGGTGCCACCAGTGGGGCAGGGAACCCTCACATACCTGTGACATTAAATATTGGTTTGTGATTCATAGTAGCAAGAAACCTCCACTTTCCAATCGAAATCTTGCCTCTTGTCAACCATTTCGATATTCCTGCAGCACCCGCCTTTTTGTCAACATATAACTTAAACTTTAAGATATAGAATGTCTCGTTGTGATGTCTGCTTAAAATATACACGCCTGACATAGGCGCCCGACTCTGATATATTCATAAGCATGACCTATAAAGAGGTCATGCTTATAAATACATCAGAGTCGGGCGCCTATGACGCCTGATTATATTTTAGATCCCGAATAGCATATCACATCACATACCTCACCTCGCCTCACCTCAATTTTGTGAGTAATTACGCAGTAGCTCTGACTGATATAAGACATGACCACCAGCCTGTAACGAAGAGTCAGTTTCTGTGACAACATTGGCCTTTCTTTGCCTGAACGTGTCACAAACAGGTTGAGCTGGTCGTCCTTGGCGATCAAAATGGGTCAGGGTCAAGGCCGATTACGTCAACTGTGATTCGTCGTACCCGTCGTTGTTCATTCAAACTGGAATGTTGCCACTTATCTCGCATCTGGCAACTATTCCATTTGTACGCGATGATGTCATTTCACAAGCCAATAATACGGTTCACTAAGCTTTAAGTCCAATATTGTTCCATTTATTTAATGACGCGCATGTACGTTTGGGAGCGGTTCTTGTACAAGTCTAGACCTCTATTGCCACTCTCCTACCCAGAGTTCCATACGGCAAACCAGCGTAGTATCTCTACCACAGGCCAGAAAAATGTGACGATTCGTCACATCTTGCACCGTCCATTCAATATAATATACATATTTCTCAACTCTTTTATTTTTGACGAGTCTACACAACTAATTAAACATCTTTGATAGAATGGTTTAGTTTCACTGAGAAAATATCCAAAAACATGTAACGCTATTTCGATTTGCGTAGCGATCCTTTGTTTACATAGGTTGTACGGCTCCACGTGCTGTCATCGTAGCTGATGGAGAGCAAACGATGCAGCCAGTTTGATATCTAAATATGTACTGTCATAGTCCTTACTGTCGCAGTTGTGGAAGAATATATATGTAACAATGTAAAACATTATGAAGAGAGCGCCGAAAAGCTTTCGTGAGTCCAGTCTCTTCTTATTATGAATATGCGCGTTTGATTACAAACAAGAGAAAAGTCCGATCACGTGATATGTAAATTAGCCTGTGGCAGTGATGTTATGTTAAGTCATCGTTGTGCCGGAGTGTGCTCTATTGCTAGCTGCCGATATACCACTTAACATGGCAGCACGACTACGAGGTGGCCAGCGCTAGGCTTCCAGTGATTGACAGTCACCAGGCCGGGTAACAACAAGCACCGTTTTGGATCCAACCACCGACTGCCCCTTCCCTGGACCCACGCAGTTAGAGGCATTTCCATTGCCATACGTAGACGAACTTTTATTGCTCACAAACATGTGTCCGTGGATGGATAAAAATAGACTGACGTACAAAAAAAACTACTCACCTGGTGCTTTCGTTGTGTTCACGGTGTTTATAACTTTTTTCAAAATATGTACGTCTTATTTTGTTTTTATATAATCCGAAAACACCAGATGAGTACTTGCTTTTGTCTGTTTACCTTGAGTTTTTATTTTGTTAGAAAACAGGACAATGGTTATTTTATTCTTGTTCTATTTTCCTTTTTAGAATGTTTGTTAATTAAAAGAGGAATGTTTAATTATTTGAGAGTGAGTGAGTTTAGTTTAACGCCGCATTCAACAATATTCCAGCTTTATGGCGGCGGTCTGTAAATAATAGAGTCTGGACCAGACAATCCAGTGATTAAACCGCATGACCAACAATCTGCGCAATGGGGAACTGATGACATGTGTCAACCAAATCAGCGAGCCTGACCACCCGATCCCGTTAGTTGCCTCTTACGACAAGCATGGGTTACTGAAGATCAATGTTCTAACCCAGACCTTCACGCGTCAGTTATGTGTGAGGCTTTCATTGGAGTAAAAGGCAATAGCTCCTGAAAATGAAGCAACAAAAGTTGCATTACCTGACAAAAGATGGTATGAACTTAAACACCAGCAGCTGGATTTAAAAAGAAAAAAACATCGAACGTTAACAAACCTTTCCAAAACATTACTGGAAACAGTCATCGAATTGTGAAACCCTTGTCGAATCACCACCAAGTAACTATTCCTTGTTATTTCATTTCTCGTTATCCTCAAAGGGGTGGTAGGGTAGCCAAGTGGTTAAAGCGTAGCGTTCGCTCGTCACGCCGAAGACCCGGGTTCGAATCTCCACATGGGTACAAAGCATGAAGCCCATCCCCCTCGCAATATTGCTAAAAGCGGCGTAAGCACTAAAATCACTCACCCACTGACGTTATCCACCAAAATGAGGGTGTGTTTTCTTCTGCCCGGCAGTTTACAGTGCCTAGTATGGTCTTAAAAAGCCGCTTTTGTCAATTTCCCAGCAATATCACGGCGGTGGACAGAATGGGCTTCACACATTGTACCCGTGTGGGGAATCGAACCCGGGTCTTCTTGCCACTAGGCTACCCCACAGCCCATACAAATACCTTGACATACTTAATGCTATGATTGGGGGACTGAGTGAATGAGTTTAGTTTTACGCCGCTTTTAGCAATATTCACAGCAATATCGCGGCCGTGGAAGCTTTGAAGCCGAGACCAGTATTATAGACATAATAGATAATGAGATGAGCTGGCTATCTCTGAGCAGTACATTGGGAATAATTAATATGATAATTGATGTAATTATGAATTTAATTTTCTCGTTTAAAGCAATTATCACCATTTCGATGGGTAAAGGACACACATTCTTAGACTAATTGGCCAGGGCCGGGAACATAATGACTAATGTGATTCGTTATATGACCTTTGTCAGAAAATACCGCTAATAAAACGTAATTGCTCTTGTAATTATCCGTCCGACTTGTTAATAGTTCGTATCAGATCTTCGTCGTTTTAAAACCTGTAAGCCTGTAATGTGACGGATTCACACAATTTCAAATTCTAACAGAATGAGGGGTAACTGTCATTCGTTCTTAATGGTTTAAATCTGTAATGTGACCAGTGCTACGAGAATGAGCAGAAACTGCTTGCTTAATTAGGGCTTGACTATTAGCATTTAGGCTTTATGTACTTACAATGTATCATCACTGAGAACGTTGTTACATTTAACGCAGTAACCTGCCGTGGAGGTTGGAAATGTACGGAAGCGTCCTAGTGCCACAGTCTGCATTTTTATCTCCTAATTAGGAGATACCAGATACTATCTCCTAATTAGGACTTAACTATCTCCTAATTAGGACTAGTGTCACAGTCTGAATTTTTTTATCTCCTAATTAGGACTTAACTATATCCTAATTAGGACTAGTGTCACAGTCTGAATTTTTTTATCTCCCAATTATGACTTAGCTTTATCCTAATTAGGACTTAGCTATCTCCTAATTAGGTGATACTATCTCCTAATTAGGACATACTATCTCCTAATTAGGACTTAACTATCTCCTAATTAGGACTTAGCTATCTCCTAATTAGGTGATACTATCTCCTAATCAGGAGATAGCTACGTCCTAATTAGGAGATAAAAAAATTCAGACTGTGGCACTAGGACGCTTCCGTAGAAATGTAATGAGTGGGTGAGTTCAGTTTTACACCGCACTCAGAAATATTCCAGCTGTATGGAGGCAGTCTGTAAATAATCCAGTCTGGACCAGACAATCTCAATGATCACCAGCATGAACATCGAACATGGGATCTGACCACCTGATGCCGTTAGTCGCCTCTTACGTCAAGCATGGGTTGCTGACGACCAATTCTAACCCTGATCGTCACGGGTGGAAATGTAATGAATTTACGAAACGAAACGTTCGATGGTGCCGGCCTCCGTGGTGGGTGGATCGGGTGTGTGCCCTCAGATCGGTACTTCCGTGGTTCGATTCCACAACTGCGTCATGCCAAATGTTTTTATAGCATGGACCCTGTGATTGTCTGAGTAGGGGTTCCATCTTGACTAACGTTTAAACATCTTGACGATAATAGTTTCGATAAAAGCAGCAAACTCTATGTACTGTATGTACTGTGTGTACTGTATGTACTGTATGTACTCTATGTACTGTATGTACTGTATGTACTGTATGTACTGTATGTACTATGTACTGTATGTACTGTATGTACTGTATGTACTGTATGTACTGTATGTACTGTATGTACTGTATGTACTGTATGTACTCTATGTACTGTATGTACTGTATGTACTGTATGTACTGTATGTACTGTATGTACTGTACTGTATGTACTGTATGTACTGTATGTACTGTATGTACTCTATGTACTTCTATGTACTTGTATGTACTGTATGTACTGTATGTACTGTATGTACTGTATGTACTGTATGTACTGTATGTACTCTATGTACTCTACTGTACTTGTATGTACTCTATGTACTCTATGTACTCTATGTAATGTATGTACTGTATGTACTCTATGTACTACTCTATGTACTGTATGTACTGCTATGTACTGTATGTACTGTATGTACTGTATGTACTGTATGTACTGTATGTACTGTATGTACTGTATGTATTGTATGTACTGTATGTACTCTATGTACTGTATGTACTGTATGTACTGTATGTACTGTATGTACTGTATGTACTGTATGTACTCTATGTACTGTATGTACTGTATGTACTGTATGTACTGTATGTACTCTATGTACTGTATGTACTCTATGTACTGTATGTACTCTATGTACTCTATGTACTGTATGTACTCTATGTACTGAATGTACTCTATGTACTGTATGTACTCTATAGACTGTATGTACTCTATGTACTGTATGTACTCTATGTACTGTATGTACTGTATGTACTCTATGTACTGTATGTACTGTATGTACTGTATGTACTCTATGTACTGTATGTACTGTATGTACTCTATGTACTCTATGTACTGTATGTACTGTATGTACTGTATGTACTCTATGTACTCTATGTACTCTATGTACTGTATGTACTGTATGTACTGTATGTACTCTATGTACTCTATGTACTCTATGTACTTAATGTACTGTATGTACTGTATGTACTGTATGTACTGTATGTACTCTATGTACTGTATGTACTGTATGTACTGTATGTTCTGTATTACTGTATGTATGTACTGTATGTATGTACTGTATGTATGTACTGTATGTACTGTATGTACTCCTGTCTAGAGTAAAGTATATGGGTGTATTGAATATCAGAGCTTGATGACACGTAACTAGATGATAGCAATTGCTTTATTTGCAGTTCCCGCTGTAAGACACAGCTTATGCAGAGACCAGCTGTAATTGACGACATACATTGTGTAATTGTCTGTCATGGAAGGCTTTGGGACTTACCTCCAATAAAACACAGACTTCGTGAAGATTAAGCTGTCTCTGACATATATTCATTAACCTGTCTCAAAAGGTTACACACATGTTGGACGCGTACATATCCTGGTTGAAACTTTTCTCCAGCAACGGCCCGTGAAGGTCCGGGTTACAATATTGATCTTCAGTAACCCATGCTTGTCGTAAGAGGCGACTAAAGGGATCGTGTGGTCAGGTTTGGTTGACACATGTCATCGGTTCCCAATTGCGCAGATCGATACTCATGCTGTTGATCACTGGATTGACTGGTCCAGACTCTATTATTTACAGACCGCCGCCATATAACTGGAATGTTACTGAGTGCGGCGTAAAACTCAGCTCACTCACTCACTCCAAATGTACATCAGTGAGTTAGTGAGGCACGGTTTTTAGTCACATCGGCAGTATTTCAATATTGCGCAGATCGATGTCCATGCTGTTCATGCTATTGATCACTGGATTGACTGGTCCAGACTCGATTATTTACAGACCGCCGCCATATAGCTGGTATATTGCTGTGTGCGGCGTGAAACTAAACTCACTCACTCACTCTCTCCAGCAACCCATTCTTTCAACTGACGTAAGAGACGACAAACGGGATCGGATCGTCAGGCTCACTGGCTTGGTTGACAAGTGTGTCATCGCATCTCATGCTGGCTGGATTATTTACAGACCGCCGTCATATGCCTGTGGATAAAATATTGCAAATTTAAACTACAAATTTAAGCCTACTGATCAAGTGATGTTGGAGGTGTGCTGTGTCGGCCGGTTTCCACTTCTAGTTTAATAGATCCAGAATCCACAATCACATCTCACTCACTAACTCACTCCGACCCACACTGAAGCAACATGTGAGACCGACCCACACAATAGCATGAACAGCATGGACATCGATCTGCGCAATATTGAAATACTGCCGATGTGACTAAAAACCGTGCCTCACTAACTCACTGATGTACATTTGGAAGTGAGTGAGTGAGTTGAGTTTTACGCCGCACTCAGTAACATTCCAGTTATATGGCGGCGGTCTGTAAATAATAGAGTCTGGACCAGTCAATCCAGTGATCAACAGCATGAGCATCGATCCGCGCAATTGGGAACCGATGGCATGTGCCAACGAAGTCAGCGAGCCTGACCACCAGTTCCCGTCAGTCGCTTCTTACTTCAAGTCGTGCATACAAATATAATTATGATATAATTATAAATTGGGTTTGGGGTAAATAATCATAGTTGTCGAGGTACGTTTCTTTTGTGTATATTAGCTTCCTGGTGGTTGTACTTTGGAGTGGAGTGAGTGAGTGAGATTAGTTTTACGCCGCATTCAGCAAACTTTGGAGTAGAACTCATATTGATTGCAAATACTGTACATACGGCCCCTGAACTTGAATCGTCAAATGTGAGATATTTATATTCCCTCTAGGAACAATATTTCCGTTATACCACGGCATGCCCCTTTGATATGAGAAAATAGCCCCAAAGTGATGGCAGCATTAGACATTAAGGGGCCAATTACAGACCACAAAGTTGTAATTGATTTAAATGGCTTAAGATAACCGGTCAATTGCAACAGTTATTCTACATATTTAACCCATCCTACATCAACTGAATGCTGTTCGGTTCTGTATTTGTGGAACATTTCATCGTGACTTGGGCGTAACATAGAAGTGGTAGAGCAGTGTTTATGGTTTTTATTATCTGATTACAATGTTTAATTTTATCATTCTTTGCAACGAACGTATGATTTTGAGCATTTTTATGCGAATTTAATGTAGGCTTGGCGTATGAAATGTGAGTATTGGTGGAAATTGTATGATTTGCATTGATGCGTGAATTGTATGACTGCAATAGTCAATTTGGTAATATAACCATACAAATGTTGAAAATCATGCATGTATAAGTCTAGCTGCGGAGTGTTAGCATTATAATGTAGTATTATCTTTCCCTTGAGTGTGTGTACCACACCTGGAGAGGACCCAGCGACAGAGGCCTAGATGACGACGCATCTATGACTCTTGTGTCACCTTCATGTGTGCGACATGAACGGACATTTACATTACCATCTTTGAACTGAACATTTTAATCAGTTTAATATTTATATGTTGGCACAGATATATTGTGAATATGGTTATATGAATCATGCATTTCATGTATGATCTGTTGGCATGGTAGTAATAAATACATGTGATTAAAGTGTAGATATCAGTGCTTAGTTTATTATAATATTAAGTGACTAGTGTGTGTACGCAGTAGGAGTGTGGGTATGTAAAGTAATTGCTTGTCCGTGCGGGATGAGGTGTTATGAAGTGAGTGTTGGGAAGGTGTTTTGAGAGTCGGGGTGAGACTTGTGTGTGTGTTGTAATATCTTTATGTGTGTGTTGTAATATCTTTATGTGTGTGTTGTAATATCTTTATGTGTGTGTGTTGTAATATCTTTATGTGTGTGTTGTAATATCTTTATGTGTGTGTGTTGTAATATCTTTATGTGTGTGTTGTAATATCTTTATGTGTATGGGTTGTAATATCTTTGTGTGTGTGTTGTAATATTTTTATGTGTGTGTGTGTTGTAATATCTTTATGTGTGTGTGTGTGTTGTAATATCTTTATGTGTATGGGTTGTAGTATCTTTGTGTGTGTGTTGTAATATTTTTATGTGTGTGTGTGTGTTGTAATATCTTTAAAAGTTGCTGCTTCAGACTGGGTTGGTCTTACGTTGCTGCTTCTGAGTAGGTCGGTCTTACGTTACTGCTTCAATGAGGGTCGGCCTAACATTACTGCTTCACAGTGGGTCGGCCTTACATTGCTGCTTTACAGCGGGTCGGCCTTTCATTGCTGCTTCAGAGTGGGTCGGTCTTACATTGCTGCTTCACAGTGGGTCGGTCTTACATTGCTGCTTCAGTGTGGGTCGGTCTTACATTGCTGCTTCAGAGTGGGTCGGTCTTACATTGCTGCTTTAGAGTGGGTCGGTCTTACATTGCTGCTTCAGTGTGGGTCGGTCTTACATTGCTGCTTTACAGTGGGTCGGTCTTACATTGCTGCTTCAGTGTGGGTCGGTCTTACATTGCTGCTTCAGTGTGGGTCGGTCTTGCTGCTTCAGTGTGGGTCCGCCTTACATTGCTGCTTCAGTGTGGGTCGGTCTTACATTGCTGCTTCAGTGTGGGTCGTCCTTACATTGCTGCTTCAGTGTGGGTCGGTCTTACATTGCTGCTTCAGCGTGGGTCGGTCTTACATTGCTGCTTCAGTGTGGGTCGGTCTTACATTGCTGCTTCAGTGTGGGTCGGTCTTGCTGCTTCAGTGTGGGTCCGCCTTACATTGCTGCTTCAGTGTGGGTCGGTCTTACATTGCTGCTTCAGTGTGGGTCGGTCTTACATTGCTGCTTCAGTGTGGGTCGGTCTTGCTGCTTCAGTGTGGGTCCGCCTTACATTGCTGCTTCAGCGTGGGTCGGTCTTACATTGCTGCTTCAGTGTGGGTCGGTCTTACATTGCTGCTTCACAGTGGGTCGGTCTTACATTGCTACTTCGGAGTGGGTCGGCCTTACATTGCTGCTTTACAGTGGGTCGGACTTACATTGCTTCTTCAGTTAGGGTCGGCCTTACATTGCTGCTTCAGTGAGGGTCGGCCTTACATTGCTGCTTCAGTGTGGGTCGGTCTTGCTGCTTCAGTGTGGGTCCGCCTTACATTGCTGCTTCAGTGTGGGTCGTCCTTACATTGCTTCTTCAGTTTGGGTCGGCCTTACATTGCTGCTTCAGTGTGGGTTGGTCTTGCTGCTTCAGTGTGGGTCCGCCTTACATTGCTGCTTCAGTGTGGGTCGGTCTTACATTGCTGCTTCTGTGTGGGTCGTCCTTACATTGCTGCTTCAGTGTGGGTCGGTCTTACATTGCTGCTTCAGCGTCGGTCGGTCTTACATTGCTGCTTCAGTGTGGGTCGGTCTTCCGTTGCTGCTTCAGCGTGGGTCGGACTTACATTGCTGCTTCAGAGTGGGTCGGTCTTACATTGCTGCTTCAGTGTAGGTCGGTCTTACATTGCTGCTTCAGTGTAGGTCGGTCTTACGTTGCTGCTTCAGCGTGGGTCGGACTTACATTGCTGCTTCAGTGTGGGTCGGTCTTACATTGCTGCTTCAGTGTGGGTCGGTCTTACATTGCTGCTTCAGTGTGGGTCGGTCTTACATTGCTGTTTCACAGTGGGTCGTCCTTACATTGCTGCTTCAGAGTGGGTCGGTCTTGCATTGCTGCTTTACAGTTGGTCGGTCTTACATTGCTGCTTCAGTGTGGGTCGGTCTTACATTGCTGTTTCACAGTGGGTCGGTCTTACATTGCTGTTTCACAGTGGGTCGGCCTTATATTGCTGCTTCAGTGTGGGTCGCTCTTACATTGCTGCTTCACAGTGGGTCGGTCTTACATTGCTGTGTAACAGTGGGTCGTCCCTACATTGCTGCTTCAGAGTGGGTCGGTCTTACATTGCTGTTTCACAGTGGGTCGGCCTTATATTGCTGCTTCAGCGTGGGTCGGTCTTACATTGCTGTGTAACAGTGGGTCGTCCCTACATTGCTGCTTCAGAGTGGGTCGTCCTTACATTGCTGCTTTAGTGTGGGTCGGTCTTACATTGCTGTTTCACAGTGGGTCGGTCTTACATTGCTGCTTCAGTGTGGGTCGGTCTTACATTGCTGCTTTACAGTGGGTCGGTCTTACATTGCTGCTTCAGTGTGGGTCGATCTTACATTGCTGCTTCACAGTGGGTCGGTCTTACATTCCTGCTTCAGTGTGGGTCGGCCTTACATTGCTGCTTCAGAGTGGGTCGGCCTTACATTGCTGCTTCAGTGTGGGTTCGGTCTTACATTGCTGCTTCAGAGTGGGTTGGTCTTACGTTGCTACTTCGGAGTGGGTCGGTCTTACGTTGCTGCTTCAGAGTGGGTTGGTCTTACGTTGCTGCTTTAGAGTGGGTTGGTCTTACATTGCTGCTTCAATGAGGGTCGAACATAAATTGTTGCTTTAATGTTGATCGGCCACACTCAGCCACCCTCAGCAATATTACAGTTATAGGGCGTTGGTCTGTAAATAATCGAGTCTGGGAAAGACAATCCAGTGATCAGTAGCATGAGCATCGATACACGCCTTTGGGATACGATGACAATTAATAGGTTATAATGCAACCTAACAACCATAGCATGGGGGATCAGGAAAGAGGCTGCTTTCCTGAATATTGAAGTTGTTAGAATGTGTTTTACGTTTGTCATGCATTCTTACCTTATAACATAGACAAACAATGAAATTGCATATTCGATGGAATTGATACGGGTATCTTCGCTGTGTTTAGTGCCTCATGTTTGAAAGATTTCGGCGACAGTTTGGAACCAGCCTTGTAAACGTTTTGATGTCAAAACTTTCCTATGCACAACATGTTTCAAACATAGGTGAACGAATGCTTCGGATTCCTTGTAAATGGCAATGGGAAACGTGCTTTAATGTATTTTCGGTCAAGTAGAAGATGATTTTTCGTATATATCATGATTTTATAGCGTAAAGGTCATTTCAACGTAAAGATCACTCCTACGTGTAGATCATTCCTGCGTGAAGATGATTCCTGCGTGAAGGTCATTCCTGCGTGCAGGTCATTCCTACGTGAAGGTCATAACTAAGTGAATATCATTTCTACATGAAGATGATTCCCACGTGAAGATGATTCCTGCGTGAAGGTCATTCCGGCGTGCAGGTCATTCCTACGTGAAAGTCATTCCTACGTGAAGGTCATTCCTATGTGAAGGTCATCCCTAACTGAAGATCATTCCTACATGTAGATGATTCCCTCGTTATGATGATTCCGGCGTGCAGGTCATTCCTACGTGAAAGTCATTCCTACGTGAAGGTCATTCCTGTGTGAAGGTCATTCCAGCATGATGGTCATTCTTACGTAAAGGTCATTCCTACGTAAAGATCATTCCTACGTGAAGGTTGTTCATGCGTGAAGGTCATTCCAGCATGAAGATCATTCCTGATGTCGGCCGCAGTGTTACTAAAAGCGGCCTAAACAATAGTGATGTCTGGTCATAGAGAGTCCATGATGATGTAGCGTACCGGGTAACGGTGTGGCTCGTCCATCTGTACAGATGAGTTCGAATACCCACGTACATACATTGCGGGAAGCAATGGTTTGTTATGTAAACAGTTA